GGAGTACAGTAAAAGTACCGAAGTAAAAAGTAGTTTAAAAAATGTACCGGAGTACAGTAAAAGTACCGAAAATTGTAACGTAAGTACAATTTAAGTACCGGAGTAGGCTACTTGTACTCCGTTACTACTACCAGCTCTGCCCGTACCAGAGGAAGGAGAAAGAAAAGGGTAAGTATGCTCAACCTCAGCCTGTCAGAAAATGAATAACGGGGGTCTTGGTGAGACGATTAATAATTTAATTTTGCTGCCAGCGTGTAACCTTTAAAATTATAATTATGCGAACTAAACCTTTACTGTGCACAGACTAGATCTATATTAATTTTATACTGCTATCACGTGCAAGCGCTTTCAAAGCTTTGCAATCGTGAGAAATTATGAGAAATGAACAAGATGGCTGCGCCCACAGAAAACAGATTGTGACGCACCTTATACTTATGCCTTATGGTTTTATAGCAGAACTATAGAGCCTTGTACTTTTACTTGTAGGAAAGCGAAAGAGTCTTAGAGTCGAGTAAGGAGAGAAAAAGATAACACGTACCATGGAGGGTGCTGACAAAGATGTTGCAAATGGATCCAAGGAAACTGGATTGTCAAAAAAGCTGAAAAAGAAACTGGCAAAGATAGAAAAATCTCTTTCGTTGAAAGAGAAGCTCCAGTTGACCGACTTCCCGACCAAGGTAAGGAAATTAAAAATATTAGCCATGCCTTGAGAGTACAAAAATGTGTTTTTTTTAAAGCAAACTTGAACTAGACGGTCTAGATCTAGATCTAGAGATATATCTTGTGCTGTTGAAGCTAGAGAGGTGAGCAGTCTAAGTCTGATTCCCTGTCGTAAAGACTTACTGTTGACACCCATCCCTTGTCGCTCTATGCAGTTGCGAGCGCTGTAAAACCCTCTACTATTTAAAAAAAAATGATATATGCATACAGCTCTGCCAGCTGTGGTGACTGTTGTGAGGCTGTGAGGTCTTTTATTTTTCAGTTTCAACAGAGGTGTAGCATGACAAATTGGGATAAAAATAATCCTGTTTTGGCCCCGCCCAATGATAACTATGGACCTATGGATTGTGGATTTTCGTTTCACCGGCGATTACTTTTAGTTCTAAAAGATTACTTTTCGACGCATGTTCCGATGATATTTGACGCTCAGCGAGCAAAAGATATTAAACATTATTGAATTGCTAACTTCAAATTATGGTTAAATTCAGGGGGGGCTTGCCCCCCCCCTAACAGCCCCCTTGTTAAAAATACATGAGAAAAATTTTAATGCTCATTTTGTAGGCCTACTGAAAAATAGCAGTGCATCTCTCGCTCTCTTTTTTCGGATAAAACATCGATACCAACTAGTTAAGTCAGCAGCGATATCCAGTACTCTTGGGTTCGTTTGTTTTGTTTTGTTTGTTTTTGTAAAGTGTTTTACTGCGCTCGCAACTGCATAAGGTCATATGAGCGCGCGGGACTCCTAATATTTTCAGTTGGTAGAAAATTTTGAATTTTGCCCGGGTGGCGGCCGAAGCCTACTCTTATCGATTTTAGACCACCAAGGGATCTTTAACGTGCGCAACTTGCACACGGGCCCTCCGAGATTTTTCGCCCTTGTCCGAGAAGGCTAGGTGTAGATCTTTCCTACCAGAAGATCAGGGGTGTGGCAGAAAGACAGCAGTAAGGAGGAGCCAAGGAGTAGCATTAGAAAGGCTGCAGAAAGAGTCAGGAGCCCAGAGGAGGGGGCAAAGGAGGTAAGGGGGTGGGGGCAGAAAGTGGAAATGAAAGCAGACGACAGAACATTGCTAGAGAGCAGGAAAGGAGGTGAAAGGAGACAATTTTAGAGAAGAAAATTTTTTGGTCGCTACCCGGATTCGAACCCGGGACCTTTGAATGAGAGGCCAACACCTTAACCTCTAGGCCACGAGAGCCCCTCAAAACCGGAGAATGCCGACAAATTAACAACAGCTTGGCAACATGACTCAAATGGGGAGGTCATGGGGAGGTCATGGGTAGGTCATGGGGAGGTCATGGGGAGGTCATGGGGAGGTCATGGGGAGGTCATGGGGAGGTCATGGGGAGGTCATGGAGAGGTCATGGGGAGGTCATGGGGAGGTCAGCTCCGAGATTCACAGTTTGATCTGTGCCAGGGTTTGTTTTTGTTTTTCTCATTTTTTCCCAAAGCCCCCAGGATCCTAGTCTAAGGCAAAGATAGTACAACATAACAAGATGGGCCACTCAGCAAAAAAAGTGTCCGCCGGAAGTTCGCTCTTTGCTTCAGATGGAGCTGCAGTCTGTTTTGAAGCTCTCTTTCATTTTTCCAGAAGAAGAATAGGAAAAGCACCTCCTTGCGTGCGCGGATCGACTGCTGTTCATCAGCAGTTCGGGTTCGTTCAGTGCGGAGTTTTAGTCTTTAAAAAATTTTAATGACCTCTCGCCTTTCATTCTAAAGTCAAATTAAACAAAGAAAACAATCACCCTTTCCTCGGGAAGAGGTTTTTTGTCAGCGTAACCATTTTAAAAAAACGTTCTTCCGAAATTTATTCTAAAACTTGCTAGTTTCACTTTGATTTTTTAAACTCAAGTAGGGTAACTCTGTTTGCAAAGGGTGTGCATTTGCGAAGAGGGAGCCACCGAATTTTGAGGACATTTTTTAAATTGGCTCAAAGAGAGAAGTGGCCCCTCTTTTTATGTAGACTCTTTGTCTAAGGGTAGTAGGCAGGAGCAAGCACCCAAGTTTTCTTGCATCATGGGCAAAACATTTAGGAGGTCCCCCCATGGAAGTTTCGCGTGTTGTAATATTGAAAAAGAGTAGACTCTCTGGGTGACTGTCCTGGCAAAATTTAAGATTAATTCCTGAAGCCACTCTAGTCAGTTTAAATGTATTGAGAATTCCTTTGAAAATGACACGTATGACTGCCTGTCAGGCCAGGGATTGATTCAACAAAATGATTCTACATTCTATCCTATGTAGGCTAGATAGAATGGTTTTTGTATGCATGTATGTAAGAATGAATAGCACTGTGAGAAAAGATCTTACTGTCAAATAGGCCTACTTTCTCAGCCCCAGCAGGGGAATGAGAAGAAGACATAGTGACTTTGATATTGTTGTAGAGCCTTTGATAACTTTGTTTGATACTGGACAACCATAGGGTGCCCTGGTGTGGGTTTCTCCTTCTTTCCTATCACACATCTATTATCCTATCTCTCTTTCTTTTCTATATATTATACACTCTTGTAACACCTTTCATCTTCTTGATGTATAGATCTATTTGTATTGCAAGTATTTAGAAACTCTTATAATATATGTGCACTGGCACAATCAGTAGAAGGACCCTCGCCAACATTTTGGAGAGAGCAACGGAGCATCAATGGACGTATCCGGAGTGCAGGGATGTTGCTTCCTGAAACAAGAACAAGAACAAGAAACTCTTGCTAAATCTAAATCTAATAATACGGATACACTCTAATTCAGGACACCCCCTTTCTGTCTCTCTGTGTTTCAGGTGCTCTGTGTTCAGAATGGAGGACTGGGAAATGATGTGTGTCAAGAGGAACTGATGGCAGCATTTTCTCCCCACGGAGCTGTGGACTGCGTCATCATGTTACCTCGGAAGCCGTACGCTTTTGTGTGTTATTCAGATTGCTCTAGCGCGATGAAGGCCTTCCAGCACCTCAATGGTCACACACTGAAACAAGGAAAAGACCCATCACAAAATGTCATCTTGTATTTGTTATATGTAGAGAGAGGTAGGTTATTTTGGAAAAATACTCAATTTTTATGAGAAAAAAAAAGGTAATTGGGGTATTGCATATATGTCATCATTTTTGTGGAGATTTTTAAAAATGTCCATTGAAGCTATAGCAATTCTTCCAACTTGTGCAAACTAGAGGGGTTAATTCCTAAACATTTTGACAAGTTGATTTGTAATTATTGATAAAGGAAAAGCTGATGTCCCCTTCCCCCCCCCCCACCTTCGTTAAACAAAATAACAAAAACAACAACAAAATGAAGACTCCATCCCCCCAACCCCCCCCCCCCCCAAAAAAACCCCCCAGGAAAAAAAAGAAGAGCCCCACCCAATAAAATTAATAAAATATAAGTACCCCCCCCCTGAAGGTTACTTTATATAAATTACTAGTTTCATCATGATTGAATGGAGAATCTGCTGCTAAACATAAGACCATTTTTCAGATTTGTATATATATTGTATGTGTACTGAGAATTAATGCTGTATCACACAGACCTGCCACTCGTCCCGATTTAGTCGGGATATCCGAATTTTTTGCCCCAAATCTCAAGCATCCTGGTTTTCCCGATTTCGATTGCATGTATCCTGTCCCTTTCACATGGATAAAACCCACAAATACGTTCATCTACTTATTACAATAACATCCATCTTTCAATCATGTAGAAAAACAATGGCCTTGAGGCTTGTGGTCTGACTACATTGATCACACTTGATAAAGAACATTCGTAATGACTGCAGTGAAGTTACTGAACACACAGTGCTACAAATGAAACAGAGAGAGGGAGAGAGAGAGGGAGGGAGGGAGGGAGGGAGAGAGAGAGAGAGAGAGAGAGAGAGAGAGAGAGAGAGAGAGAGAGAGAGAGAGAGAGAGAGAGAGAGAGAGAGAGAATATTTTACAGAGAGGGTTGTCCCAGCGCATAAGACATTATTTACTAATGTCCTGTCTTGTTGTGTGTATGCGTGAGTACACCTAACTTTTGTAACGTCTTCTGCCTTTGTTAACGACCAAGACAAATTTCCCCCTGTGAGATGAATAAAGATTGTCATTGTCAAAACATATTTTTGTTTCCTTGTCGCCAACACAGCCCCACCCAGCGTTGTACCATCATCAGAGCGACCTCCTGGCCTGCATATCCTTGAGGATTTCGTCACGATACAAGAAGAGGCTTCCCTCATTGAACACTTCAAGTTCAACATTGAGGATTCAGAGGGACAGAAAGGTTCCTGGGCACTTTTTATTTATTTATTTTTTGTTTCCCTTTAGGACTTTATTAACAGGTTATGTTTTTCTTCAATCATTATTGCTAAATAGTTTATACATCTCCCAAATTAATTACATTTTTGTTACTTTGGATTTTTGTATCAAATCCATGGCTGAAAAGCGATTCTCATTGGCTCAGGTGATGTTGTTTAAGCTGAAGCTCACTGTTTTCCCCTGATTGTGAATAATGCATTCCTCTGGTGTCTTTGACTCAGAAAATGGTTTGGTCTTCATTGAAACTTGACATTATTGCTCTGAGTTACTGTTTGGATTTGTATTCAAACTAGAGCTGGGCGCGGAATCGAGTCCAGAAACGATTCCCGCAATTAATGCTACGGAAGAAAACTTCTGATTCCTTTTTTTGTAAACCAACGGTTACCAGTTACTTTATTCATTAAATTCTTTTTTTTTTCTTTTTTTTGGAAGAATTTGCTTTTGAAAAATAAAAGTTGATGCTTCGTAATGTTCCGAAATCAAGGTTATAATAAATCCTGAAGATGTTCGGAGCTAACCAGGTAACCATCGGAAGAAATCACATAATTAGAAAGTAAGTAATTGGGTTCGGACTCGATTCCTACGATTCCTAGATTTCAATAATCAGGAACCTAGCCGCCCAGCACTAATTCAAACGGATAAGCCAGAGAGTGGTGTCCCTACTTGGGATTTGTTGAGCTGGGCCCAAGTTGATGGTCTTCATTTCGTTTTTGTTTAGAGACTGTATGTAGTTACTGTGGATGATTTAAGATACAGTATGTTACAGATGAGCTATTTTAATATTTTAATAGGGGCCTACAAAAATTATGTTTTTTCTTTGGATGACAGTTAGTAGAATTAATTACCCTGAGCCGAGTGTTAGAAAGATCATGTTAATGTTTCAGAGTGCGGAGTGATGAAACATCGGCAAGTGAAACATTTTGGCTATGAGTTCAAATATGGCATCAACGACGTGGACATTAATGACCCACTCCCAGACGGAATTCCCACCATCTGTAAAGGTTTCCTGGACAGATCCTTGGCAACAGGTCTTGTCCACTTCTTCCCTGATCAGCTGACAGTGAACCAGTACAAACCCGGCCAAGGTTGGATGAGATAGACTCTCTGCTATTGCAGAAATGTGTAGAAAGTCGCTTGGTTAATGGGTGGTTTTTCCCTTTGATCCAATCTTAGTAAAGACATTGTTTCTAAAAAAAATAAAATGAATGAATATTTTTCTTGCTGTTTTGGAAGGCAGCACATGCAATCACAAGACACACACTCACACATACACACAAATATACACAATTTGTACATTAAAAACAATGCAATAACTCCATTGTAAACATGTCATGAATTGCTGACATTTCCTGATACCCAACTCCTCAATGAGAATTTCCTGACATGAACAAGATCCTATTAGAAGCATGTCTTCATTTTGATGTGTTCAAAATGAAAGTAGTTACAAATCTGAGTGGAAAATAAAGAAAATTATATTTTGTTTTAGCGATAATTGACTGTGCATTCCATAGTGCTGTCCCTGTGGTTTTATGCACCCCGCATAATTTAGCAAAATTTGATAATTTTTTGCATAATTTCTGATTACAGTGGAATCCACTTATAACGAGTCCTGAAAAAACGAGAAGTCTGTTATAAAGACACTATTCTAAAACCCCGTTTTTTCCCTTCTTTCTCTTTGTAAATAAAATACTGCTATAGCGCAATCTGACAGTCACGCGAGTCGGTTATAAGCGGGATATAGCTGCTGCTGTGCACAGCGCATAAGCCATTTGTTCTTGTATAACCTTGCCAGTTCAGAAACTTGTCGGTTATCTTGCGAAACAAAGAATGGGAGAGCCCACGAGTGCCAACAATGAAGGCCGGATTGAATGAGTGGGGAGAGTGTGGCATGCACAGACATGCAGAACGCATTGTGTGATAGGCCAGCCTAGTCTAGATTATCTAGGCATACCATGCCTCTCACTTCTCTGATGCGGGAATGGAGAGGTCATAGTGCTGTACATTTGTACTGTAATGGACGGAGCGAATGTGGGACGTGGGCGGGGTGTAGTATGTTCCCATTGTGCGCAAGCAGACGGAACGCACCACAGGGTATGGTGGAATAGGGGACAACACAGCGAGCGAGTTAGCCTAGAGAACTTTCTTTCAGATCGCCAACGCCGAGCTGTCAATATCGCTAACGTTTGAGAAAGAAACCTGATTCGACTTTTGATCAAGTAAGACTTAAAGGTCATGTTAAATCAAATCATCATCAGGGGAGATTACAAAAAGAAATAAACCGAAAACCAGACTCATAGATTAGGCCTACTGTACTATTTCCCTTGAATTTATTACTGGATCCCTTATAGCGAGAATCCTGCTATAACGGACATTTGGCACCGGTCCCCTCCCTCTCGTTATAACAGGATTCCACTGTATTTTCCTTTGTCATTCTTTGTTAAAATTAACAGAATCGCATAATTTCACATTTTTGGGCTCATTTTGCATAATTTCAAAATTTTTCTTGCATAAAACGATGGGGAAGATAGTGTTGTAATATCAATATCATCCTGGGAAATGAGATAATCCCCACCCCCTCACCTCCCCGCCCCCCCGAAAATAGAGCAATGCCCCCTATCTGCATAACATACACACAAACAAGTGGGTTTTTCTGGTGTTTGAGATATAAGTAAAAATTGAAAAGTTTTGAAAATTTTAGACGGAGCAATGTGCCTGTGGTTTTTGAGTTTTCATTTCATGATATTTTCTTCTATTTCTAGGTATTCCCCCTCATGTTGATACGACCTATGCATTTGAAGACGGGATCGTGTCGCTGAGTCTCGGCTCACAGGTAAGGTAAAGGACATAATTCAAGACAATTTATACCGGCTTGGATTTATTATGGTTCTGAACAATTTGGGCCATTCCATGAAAAGTGACACATGCAGCATGGAGATGATGACTGACTGAAAAAATTCTAAGAAATTATATAACCCTTCTTTACTCCTTTTTTGTATGATGCAACCTTTCCCTAACATAAAAAAACAAAAAAACATTGAGTATGGCTGAAGATTAGAGATGTTACCAGAGAGTTTTGTATAAAAAGAAAAGAAGGAGAGATAAGAATGATAGGTGTTTGATAGAAAAGAAGGAGCAAAGCACACCAGAACACTCGCCAACCACCCACTGATGATAGGTCGCGACCTCAGTGCTTTCTTATCCCCAGGTCGCGACCTCAGTGCTTTCTTGACCTATCTCCAATTTTTTAAACCTTGAAAATGTGACTTCTTCTTTATCTCACTCTTTGATAAAAACTGTTTTCACTGTTATTAAAAATGGAGATAGAACGAGAAAGCACTGAATTCACAAGGTGCTAATGGTATTCCTTGTCTCCAGGCAGTGATGGACTTCCGTCACCCGGACGGGCGACACCTGAGCGTGGTCGTCCCTCGTCGTAGTCTCCTCATCATGACGGGGGACTCGCGCTACGTCTGGTCTCACGGGATCACACCGAGGAAGTCGGATATTGTTGCCACACCCACCGGCTGTGGCCTCACCTTGGTGCACAGAGACACGCGCCTTTCCCTCACCTTCAGGAAGGTCGTGATGGACAGAAAGGAAGAGGGGAAGAGTGTGATTGAGGCTCTTTTGCCGGAGACGGAGGGTCAGGCTGTGGCCTTGGAGAAAGAGCATGTGCAACAGGTCAGGGTTGGCTTCTGATTCCACACTGTCTCCCTCTCTGTGTGTGTGTGTTTCTGTTTTTGTTTCTCTCCCTCTCTTAGATCCCTACTGACACAGTCACTTCCTTGTCATATTATGGACAGCTGTTAAAGTATTGTTATTTTCATCTGTCTCTCTCTCTCTCTTTCTCTGTCTCTATCTCTCTCTCTCTTTCTCTGTCTCTCTCTCTCTCTTCCTCTCTCTCAAACTGAAATTCGCTATCAGTTAGAAAAATGTCATGTTGAATTCCTTTGAATGATAAAGAGTTACGCGAATGAGTCATTCTGTAAATGAAAAAAGATGGAAAGCAAAATGTCTAAGATAGAAGGTATTTATTTAGTTCCGAATCATAAATAAAGAGGTCTTTGTGCTTAAGAATGTACCTAAATCATCATCAGATTTTGATTCAGGTTAGCAAGGTGTCTCATTCCACGGAGGTTCCCAACAAATTCCTTGCTGTACAGAATGGTGGTTGTTGTTTTTGCTTTGCCATGATCTGGAGCTATGGAGATATTGCTGGCGTGCTTGATGTCATGTCGAATAATGTACATGCCATCTTCTATGGTGTCTCTGTTCTGCATAAGGAGCTAGAGATTGTCAGTGGTGTGGGACGAAAGAAAGAACTTCAGATCTTGCGGTTTTTTTCAGAGTCGAGAAGGTGGAAGTTTGACTGTTGCACGATGCTGATTGCACTGAGAGATCAAAATATGTGCTTTCGTGGGTTGACATGGTTCAGGTTAAATTTAGTGGACTACCGGTATGTCTTTTTGCGGCCTGTCCTTATGTGTGGAAGATATACATATATAACAGTTTAGTAGGGTCCCATTCTGATTTTTCTTTAGGATCTATATCGACGGCTGAGTGCAAAAAGTGACTATATCCTCTTTCAGTTTTGAGAAAAACGAGTTTTGAATTTTGATGGTGAAATCTCTGTAACTTAGTAAAAAAAAAGTTAATACATGTATCTCGATACCGAATTGATTAGATGTTTACAGAGGTTAAAGAGCGGCTTAAAATCTCACTACCCATATCGATAACTACATTTCGACCAAAAGTGGATATGATCACTTCTTGCGCTCAGCCATCGCTAGATGTATCTTTTGTTTCATTTGCTCAGGTTGGCACTTGCTGCTCTCTCAGTGTGTTGGTTGCCCGGTTCTCTTTTACTTTGAGCTTTGGCTCAATCATCTTGTACTCTGTACTGCTAGTCACATATTGTCAGATTGTTCAAGCCTCATGTCACACTTTTTACGGTCATATGCCATCCCATTTCTTTTTGTTCTTGTTTCATGTATGCTCCGGATGGCCAGTTATATTAAACTTTAAAGGAAACAAGACCAGTGGAATCTCTTTCAACCTTCCTTGGATTCTCTCCCTTGCTCAGGTATATGACGACATAGCGGAGCACTTCAGCGGCACGCGCTACAAACCCTGGCCTCGAGTGGTGGACTTCCTGCAGGAGCAGCCTCCCCTGTCTCTGCTGGCTGATGTCGGGTGTGGCAACGGAAAATGTCTGGGCGTGAACAAAGACTTGTTTGAGGTGCGAAATTGTATTGGTTTAATTAACATCCTCTTCAACATTGTAAGGTTATTGAAGTAAAGGGTGGAAGCTCTGAAATTGATGTCCAACTCCCGATATGACCTAGTCAAATGGGAATTTTCATGTTAAAATTAAAATGCCTTTTGTGGGTGGTTGGCGGGTGCTCTGGGGTAGTTTGCTTCTTCCTTTCTATCAAACTTCTATCGTCCTTATCTCCCCTTTTTCTTTTTTTCTTTTTGTTACTTTCTTGTAACACCTCTAATCTTTTGGTGCTCATATTTTAATGTTCTTTTTCTCTGATAGATTGGCAGCGATTTCAGCAAAAATCTGGCCACCATCTGTCGCAGTCGTGGTAACGAAACCTGTGTTGCGGACGTGACTTGCCTCCCCTTCCGCTCAGACTCTTTTGACGTGGTCTTGTGCATCGCTGTCATACATCACATGGCCACCAAGGTCAGTAGGCTGTTGGTCCACCTCGGGTTTTGACGGTAGTGGTAACCTTATATTTATAATCACTATTGAGTAGATTTATCCTCACTTATGACTTACGACCAGCGTTTTGTCGATATTTTACCTTTTATTATATTTTCCTCTTTTGCCATTGAGTGCTGAGGGGAGATGCAGTTTTCTATTCTACGGTAGGTCAACTCTGTTAAGATGTGGTTTCTCAGGGTCCCCTTGACTCCCTCAATCCATCTTTTACGTGTTCTACCTTTTCCTTTGTATCTTGAGTAGCCTAATTGGTGTTACAGGCTCTCGAGGCTAGCTTACTAGGTGGCTTTCATAACAGGTGGCCAAACCCTATACCCTGTTCTAAATGACCATAGTCTTTTCAGTATCCTGAGTTTTACATGATCACAGCCATCTTGATATCTCAGTCTTACACAGTCGCAGTGGTGTTGGTATCCTTCTGATTAAAATTTTCATTCAAATCATCTTTATCTGAATTTCATTTTACATCATTTACAGTCTAGCACGCACATTTATTCCCCCCCCCCAGGAGCGGCGCCAGAAGGCTGTGTCTGAGATTGTTCGGGTCCTGCGGGCTGGCGGGCGAGCTCTGCTGTACGTGTGGGCCATGGAGCAAGACCTACAGGAGAAGCCGTCCAAGTACATCCACGTGAACAGACAGAAGAGGATAGAGGGGAGTGGTTCGCCGGACGATGAGGCATGTGTGGTGAGCGGTGACCACTCGAGGATTGCGTCGTCAGAGTCGGAGGAGAGTGGTCGTGTCTCTGCTGGTGGTGATGGTGGGTTTGTGGGGGGAACGCAGAAAATGTCTGAACTGCCCGGTGATGTGGAAAAGAAGAGTGACAGAGATATGGGTTTGGAGGAACGGTATGGCTCAAGTGTAGGAAGTAGGAAGGAGCTCAGTGACAAAAGTTGTTCTGTATCAGGAAGTGTCTGTCGTGGAATCGAGCGGTGTGGTGAGGAAAAGAAAGAGTCCGATGGAAGTGAGATTGTTTCTGATTGTTCTGGACTCAGCATTTCTGAGAGATGTAAAGACGAGGGGGTGAGTGCCGGAGAGGAAAAGATTACCCGGAAAGATGGCTCTGAAGCCAACTTGGAGAGTCACGACAAGGGTAGGACAACGGGGAAGAAACTCCAGATTCACGTCAACAGAACACAGTTTCAGGACCAGGACATGCTGGTACCATGGCAACTGAAAAAGGCAGCCAAAAGCTGCGATGTGTCTGCCTCAGGGAGCGATCAACAACAGGTGTTTCACCGTTACTATCACATGTTCCAACAGGGGGAGCTGGAGGCAGTGTGCCAGGGTGTGCCGGATTGTTCAGTGAGAAAGAGTTACCATGACCAGGGAAATTGGTGCGTTGTTCTTGAAAAATTGTGATTGTGAAATTGTGATTGTGAGTACATTAATAATATAATAAATCATACGAAAAGGGAGGACAATTGTTATTTGAGTCTGTGACAAAAAAATGTGTAGATTGCGTTGGTTCTCATGCCTGCATGAGGTGTGAATGAGAGGCTTGTAGTGTACTGGTATTATTTGAATTTGAAGAGTGATGTGAAATTGTTCAAAGTTATGGGGAGACGTACACTCCCGGAAAAATTTTCTAAACGAATGACTTTTATTCACTTTCACGTAAGTGTGCAAGAAGTACATAGGTAAATAGGATGTACTAGGGGTGAGTTTGTTGAATTTGTTAAATTTTTATGAAAAATGGGTCTCTGTGGCGGCCATCTTGGATTTTCAAACCAGTTTCTTAGTGCAGAAGAATTTCATAGTAAATATTGAATTATGCCTGAATTTGGCACACAAGTACAAACCTATATGAACTAGGGATCCATGTGAGGATTTTGACTTATCTTTAAAACTAAAAAAGTGAGCCCAAAGACATTGGACCCCCTAGGGTCAGTTGACAAAATTTTGGGGTAGCCTACATATTACAAAAAATTTGAATATTTCCTCAAGTTACCAATATTTCCCAATTCCCTTTCATAGATCCCCAGAATCGATCTTAAAGCACCTGTACACCAAATTTGAAGTTCTAGCTTCAGTAGTTTTTGAAAACTTCTTGCACCCAGGAGGTCACATATGTCAAAAAGTAGATTTTGAGAAAAAAAGAAAAAACAGGAAATTTTAAAATGATTTTTAGAGCAATTTGCACTTTTCAAACTTTAGGTCATAATCATTTGGGGTGTTTTTTCAACAGTTTCTTCATTGTGACCCGATAGAACAGATGTCAAAGGATGTTTTCCCGCAAGAAACAAAAGTTGGATAGTTTGAAAATTTTTATCGACATTGCCTGGGATCGGCGACCCAGGTCTTCCCTTAAGATTATCATAATTGATGCTCCCTTAGACAAAGGTATTCTTTTAAATACACTTTTTGAGTACAAAGCAAAGACTTTCTGTCAAAAGTGGCATCTGTGGTGTAGTTGTTGGGGGAGGGAACAACACTTGTAGTCCTTGCCCCTCCCACAGTTTGGCTTCAGGAGTGAAATGAAAAGGTGAAATGGTATGGGTTTAACCCCTATCAACACTATAAGGTTATTTAAGAGGCAGGACCTAATTTAACGTCCGTCTCCGAAAGGACAGAGCCAAGTGGGAAATTCGTGTAAAGTGCTGTTTCCAAGGACACAACGTCGGACCGAGCTGAGGCACGAACCCTCGAACCCGCAATCTCATGATTACGAGTCCGGTAGTCTAACCACTAGGCCACCGACACCACTTCTTCAGGAGTGGAAAACAAACCATTGGACTTGGAATCATAACGTAACACGATATGTCAAGATCTGTTATTTACTTCTCAGTAATAAAAGAGTTCTTGAAATCAGGACATCACGCAATCACCCATATATTTATTACATTTACATACCAGTAATATAATCTTCATGATGGGTGGATCAATTCAGGAAAATGGAGCCAGTAGTTTCACTTCACATTTCTGAGCAGGCAGGACCTGTCGTACTGTATTAGAAATCTACATAACTGCTGTAATGCCATTATATAACACAGGAACAGGAAGACATGATTAAAATTCTAATCACATACTGGTGCCATATATATGAAGAGAATCATTATTGATTATGCATAAAAACTGATTTTCTTTTTATAAAAAAAACAAAACAATACAGTGGAGCCAACTAAAACTGAAATCTGTGTAACCGCCAAAATGTTCATTGGTTTAGCTGGGTTTGGGGATTAGAAAGGTTGCTCAAATTATACAAGACAAAAAAAAAAAAAAGGGAATTTTATTTTCTGTCAGTTTACCGCTGTTTTCGAATAAACGTGATCTGCTTAAGAAGACTTCACTGTATTGGGTATTGTTCAAATCTGAACTAAAAACATTGTCAAAGCAGCACAGCACCGCAATGGGAAGTAGGAAATTGTTTTGATGATGAGGTAAATTACAAACCAAGGTAAATAATCAATCTAACTTAATTCTAACCATCACACTTGAAATTAAAATGGTCAACAAACTGACTAGAGGAACAGGAGTAGCCAGACCAGGACAGAATAGAATAATACTATAATAAAGATACATGAAATCCTCGTACATAGAGGTATTTTTTACACTCCTCCCCCTAAAAAAAATGTTGAGCTTCAACAGAGTTGGCTCCACGTGTTGCACTGATAAAGCCACAGCCATTTGAGAGGTACACTGACAAAATGAGCTACTTCTTGCAGTCCACAGGTGTGGAGATATTGGCCAAAAATTGACAGTAGGGTCAAATTTGTAGATTTTCTATAGATGCCATCTATTTCAAATTTAATAACATGTTTTAAAAAATTATTTCATACTTTTTAAAATTGTAAAAACTTCAGCTATAGGCATGGTGTGTATCTCTCTAATCCGAGAAGTAACTCATTTTGTCAGCACGCTTAACATTTGCATGTGTATGTTAGATGACCTCGAGGGCCGCCAAGTAAACTTCTATGGTCAGTCATGTTTTTCAAACTGTACAGGAGAGACAAAAAACAGATTTTCTTGAAGCGTTTTGGGAGGATTAACTTCATTTCCTAAGGGAACCGTATGTCTGTCATGGCATTTGTATTTGTAGACTCCCTTAGGAAAATGAAGTTTTTCCACCCAAAACGCTTCAACAAAAACCATTTTTAAAAATCTCTCCTGTACAATTTGAAAAACATGACTTACCGTAGAAGTTTACTTGACCATCCTTGACAGGGTCTAGCTCTAATTTGACTTTAAAAAACCCCACTCCAGATGAGTTAAGTGATTGAAAAAAAAAAAGAAAAAAATGCATACACAAATTCTCAGCAATCAATGTAGGGTGGGTAAAACTAAGTTTTGAGGGAGGATTGCAAAATCAAAATGGCAGGAATTTAATATATTGTCATTCGTCTGTAATTCGTCTGTAATTCGTCTGTAATTCGTCTGTCATTCGTCTGTCATTATGATGAAGACAAAGGAAGAAGGCACCTCTTGGTCACAAAGGGAAGCCATCAAAGACCAAGTAGGCCTATAGAACACCACATAGTTGTACATGTAAAAAAAAGTGTAATACATTGGAGACTGCTCAAACTGAAAACTGTTCGTGTGAAAAGAGCTGTAAAAAAAGTGTAGTCCAAAAGAAAATAGAATTCCAGAAGTTAACTATTTTTTCTCTTTCTAAGAAAACTACTGACTACTGATTAGCCATAAGCTCTGACTTAACCAAAGCGAATTTCTAGGATTAAGTCGTGTCATTTTTCACTAGCACCTCTCCTCAAGTAATGCAGTTCATCACGTTTAATTATACTACGCTTCAAGACAGCAAAATACCTTTGTCAACTGCAAGCCAGAGAGAGAGAATCGCCTGTGTACCATTTGCCAAAGTTACCAAACACATCAACAGGCCTACGCACTCTAGAGTGACACAAGGGTAGCAAATGTCCATTTGTCTCACGACCTTCCCTTCTCTGGGCTATGTCCTATAGATCTGTCCCCGTCATTTTAGGCAAGACAATAGAAAAATTATGAAATTATGCAAACTGAGCCCAAAAATGTGAAATTATGCCATTCTGTTGATTTTAACAAAGAACGATAAAGGAAAATAATCAGAAATTATGCAAAAAATGATCAAATTTTGATAAATTATGCAGGGTGCATAAATCAACGGGGACAGGCCTATTGTCGCTGCAAAGCTAGTTCACATAAATAACAATAAAAATTAATAATTCATAGCATTTGTATAGTATAGCGCATTATTATATTCCCGCTCAAAGGCAAGCTCTATGCGCTTTACACTCTATATTATTACCCCAGCAGATCATAGAACACTCAGAAACATTCTCAGCTTCCCGGGAAACATACACCTGAGCACATGCATGGCATGTGAACTGCTTCATGTTGGCACTGTCATTTGGCATGATTTGGAACATCTCACTCACTTCACATCTGAAGCCTGTGCAGAACACAGCACCACACCTGCCAACCCCTACCAGAAAAAAACAGTCTAGAGAAAAAAAAATAGGAGCATCTAACTTAACATCCATATTCCCTGACTATATGTTTAGGGATTTCCTGACACATTTTCTGAATCGAAAAGACATCAGATCCCCGTTAGGCCCAGTTTTCTCGGCTTGGGAAAAATAAAAAGGAATTTTGCATATATTCCGTCGGAGTCATTCAAAAATATCGGAGCAATTACGATAAAATCGGAGCAGTTGGCAGGTCTGCAGTACAGTTACTCTTAGGCTATCTGTTCCCAACGTTTATAGTGCATATTCATTACATTGAGTTTGTCTTTCTTCCCCCCCCCCCCCCCCCCCCATATTCATCACCTTTGTATCTTAACCCCTGTCGGGGAATCCTTCACAAAACAGTCTCGTGTCGTCACATTATCTGCCAAAATGACCCCCTCCCTCCAAGGGAGGTCACTAGAGTAATAAGGAATAGAGATGACTGCATCCCTTCCTCCCCTTGCAAAGGTTCATGTAAACGCACGCTCCGTATAAACACACGCTAAGCAGCCCTCCCGAGCACCGTGCGTTTAGGTGGAGACTACTGTACATTAGTACAGTGCAGTAAAGTGTGCTGATCTACTCTTGCATCAATGCCGTTCATAATTCTGTATGACTGTTCAGCAGATTAAACAAGCCAACTCTGGCAATGTTGAAGAGATAGCACAGTGCAGACACCCTGTAGCTTAAATTCTAGTTTACTGAAAGAGGTTTGTAAAATTTGCTGCAAGCGCAAGCATTAGCACGATGTTCCCAACACTACATTGTTGATAATTATTGCTGGGTAAGAAACAATTGAAATGGTGAAAAGCAGTGTGATTTTCAGGCCTTCCTTAAAAAAAAAGCCAAAGAAAAAAAAAGCCATGAAGATCGAGGAGGCACTGCTCAAAGCAATCTCTCTAAACTTAAAATAAGACCAAGCTGAAGAAAATCTGGCAGATCAGTAGATTTCAATTTAAAATAAAACAATCTCCACTGTCATATAACATTAATAATAGGACTACGCGCAATAATTTATAAATAGAAAAAACAACAACTTAAGGGCAATAAAAATAGAATGCTAATACAATAAAACGAAATAGAAACAATGAGTAAACTTTCACTAAGGCTATGAAACTGTATCATGATGAAATAATAAGAATAAAAACAAAAATAAAGGTAGCATTACTATAAAAAACAGCAATTATTACTGAACATGGACTATTTTTCAGAGAAATTTTTTAAAATTCATTATGATTAAAATTAAATAACTTTCACGTAATTAAAAGAAGAAGAATAAAACTGTGCGTAACTAGCTCAACTTCAGGGCAAAGAACATGAATTAAATTTTATGATATGATCTGACCAGCTTAAAGTTAGCTTTTTCTGAACCTTCAGATCAGACAAAGCTATGACTATGACACGAGACCTGTGCAGGCCTGGTCTCATTTCTAGAACTCCTAGTTGTCTCTACAAACACAATTACGACCTACCCACTGAACAGAGACACACCATTTACATGATGTAAAATGACAAAAAGAGAAAACTCAAAGAGTCTGAATATAAAAAATCCCCAATGCACACCAGCAGGAGGTGCACCCCCCCCCCCCCCCTACATACATTGCAGAGAGAACCAACAGTGGTAGTAGTAGTACAGACAATGAACACATCTCTATGCTCCGACACATATATATACAGTACAAGCTGGGCCGTCTTTCTATGAAAGGGATGATCGGTGCTTTAATATAAGCTAAAAGTCATTGGCCTACTATATTTACACTCTACTGGAATGGGGAAATAAATATTGAGAGATGCAAAAAATTAGGTCTAGATCTATACTCTCAAAACAAAATGCCCCTCGCGAAATATCACTTCCGGATTTTCTAAAATTACAGAGACAGAAGCGTTGGCCTTCAAAAGCGATCGGCGAAATAAAGAAATTTAACTTTTTGCAGCAAAACTGTCTCAAAACTGAAAAACCAAGGGCGCCATGATCTGGAGAATATTTTAAAGAATTTTTTGGCGAAAACCGCATGTCGATCGATGCAGCCATTAAAAAGCCTTTTGAATAGCAAAATTCGGCCACCACAAATTGTCTCAGCACAAGGCCAAACTTGTCTCAGCACAAGGCCAAACTTGTCTCACCACAAGGCCAAACTTGTCTCAGCACAAGGCCAAACTTGTCTCAGCACAACGCCAAGAGCTCCCTCCCCTAAAATAAAAGACCTTTGGGTGTCTAGCGGGGAGTATTCTCCAATGAAAACAACAAATGAAAGGTGTGACTACAAGACATGATGAATGCATGATCTTTGCTACTGATGCAGTCAACTTTAATTCGCCAACAAGGGGGCTATCCCGAAAAATACTGTTTTGAGAAAATCGAAGGTAAAATTTTTGCCCCTTGTTCAGTTTCTTTAAAAGACAAGGAGAGTTTTCTCTATAGCCAAACAAATATGCCGATGAAACCAAACTTCTCCTATAGGACAATAGGTAGGAAAATGCCCACTTTGGGTGTAGGTCAAGATTTCTGAAAACCCCCGAAATCTGGGTTAGCCCGCTTGTCCTTAAAAGTGAAAGCGACCTTATATAGATCTATACCATATCAATTAATTAAGGTGCTGCTCCGACAGACTCCAATTTCTGATTTCTAACCAAAAACAGCTACACTATACAGCTCATGCTCAAGTTTTGTACTTTTACAAGAAACAATTTTTAAAAATTGACATCATTTTGCTGAACTGTAAGTAAGTGCAAGATTCTCTATACTGTCAATACTATAGTATAATTATATATGGCAATGTAGGGTAGGCCTACAGTATAGTACTATAGGTTTCATTAAGAAATAAAATATTGGAATCAGAGATATCCGCATCATAATTCAGAACGATAGTTGACCAATTTAAGAAATGGTCTGCTTATAAAGATTTATGGGGCTGCATACGATATAATTCTGAGGCAATGTTTTTAAAATGCTTCTGCCCACAAAAACTGTTTTTCCTTTTAAAATGAAATAGATCTCTGTACCACAGTAGAACATGTGCCACCCATCTGTTAATACTGACCATATATGACCAACAGACGTCATCTCTGATTGCAGCACAAACTTGAACCATTTTCGCTGTCTAATGTGCAATATGGTGGTGGTAGTGACAAAAAACATTTTTTTACATCATAAAAATTTTATAATCTAAATACTAAGACAAGGCTAAAAATAATTTTCAAGAATAACGGTAACCCATCACAGATGTATGCCAGTGGAGCTAGCTATGAAAATAAAGCATTTCATTTTAATATCAATATCATGAAATCAAACATGATTAACATAGTAGAGAAATCCCTGAAAGCAGCCTGTCTGAGAAGAAAGGACAACTCTGGCAGGCAAACAGACTTCTTCACAAAATTGCACTTCAGATGGAAGAACAACCAATTCCTTCCCTGAGCTTTAAAAATAACTAAAGATGAACAGACGATTTTTCCGTCAGACGGACGATGAGATTACTGCTGATCTGAGGAGAAAGTTTTGTCATAGGCAGATGACAAGGACACAGGTATCTGATGCATGTGAGAAGGAAGTTCTGTTAGTTGGGGGGCTGAGGAGGAAGACACATTAATCTGTGCAGCCTGGTTCAGATGACCCATTTGCAACTGTTCCAGATCGCGATCATTCGCTGTTACTGAAATGTTAATGCTGGGCTGCTGGTATGCAGCGAGGGGGCTCATGTGGTTAGGAAACATGACGATAGCCTGGGCATACGACTCGGATGTCATCACAGTTGAGTACTGGAGCTGGTGCAGGTCAGAGGAGGGCAGTGTCTGGGGGTCCTGTAGGATGTAGGCGTTGTGCTGATGATAGCCTATGGGTAACACAGCACCTGCTGTGCTGCTGGCGGTCGGCACCGGTGTCGATGAAGAGATGCCAACAGGCAGAACGGCCGGCACTGTGGTGAAAGCCACCTCATTGTTGTCCAGTGGCTCGGGAAGACTGTCGATGGTTGGAGGGGCATTAGGAGGGTGGCTGGCGGAGGGTGCAACATGATACGCTGGTATAACATGGTCGCTCTTGTAGTGTGTGACGGGAAGGTGAACTTCACTCACAGTGTGACCTCCTTGTGTTACAAAGGTCTTCACGTCGGGAAGTCGAGCAGGAATTCCTTTGTCTGTCACATGATGTGGGACAACGGACGGATTTGTCTCTGAAGGAAGATTTTCACCAGCAGGGGATGAGGTTTGAACAATGACAGCTGGTGGAGACTTCAGGGTCTCGTTAGAGAAGACTCTAGCTTCATGTGAAAGCAGATCAGGTATTTGTGGGGTATTTTTGGTCTGAGAGCAGTCGGTGAAGGGGGCTGAACTGTCCTCGGAGACAGAATCTAAAGTCTGTGATGAGGTTTCGTTCCCATTTACTACAGCGATGAAATAATCTTTTCGTCTTGGTACTTGCCAAATTGTGTCCCCCTTCCAATCTTTTGGGTTTCTTTTGTGAAGCAGAATCATGTGACGCCGAAGAACAGAAGCATCTGCAAAATTTCTGTCACACAGTAGGCATTTGTACGGCTTCACACCATCATGTATCCGCTCATGCCGAATCAACGCTTGTCGCTGACTGAAGCCTCTGCCGCAGTTTGAACAAATATAATCTTTCGTTTCTTTATGAATCTTCATGTGAAATGTAAGTCCAGAGGCTTGTTTGAAGGACTTGTTACAGATTTTACAGATGAAAAGCTTCTTCTCGTTGTGCATAAATTTGTGCTCCTTCAGAGATTTTTCGTATGAAAAACTTTTATTACAAATTTCACAGGTAAATGGCTTGATTCCTAAGTGAACATTAGCATGCTGTTGGTATGAGCTTTTCTGAGAGAAAGTACTTCCACATGTCGGGCACATATAGGTTCGTTTCATTCCTAAATGCTCAGACTTCACGTGATATGCAAGAACATATTTTGTACTAAATGACTTTGAACAAAATTTGCAAGGGAACCTCGGTTTGATGTAATCTGCAGCATGGCACTTTTTATGCTCTAGCAGTTTTCTTTTCTCCTTGTACATTTTGCCACACACATCACAGCAATTCTCAGCTTTGGTATGACACTTCAGATGACGCCGTAGGTCTTTCTGAAACCCAAATTCCTTGTCACAGTCTTCACATTTGAAACGTTTAGTCAGATGAACTCGTTGTCTGTGGGCTAAGAGTTGAAAATGTCGATTAGTCACATAAGGGCACTCTCCACACTCATACTCTGTCTCATCTTGCTCACTCTTCACTTTCTTGTTTGATGAATGTTTACTTACATGTGCCCTTTCTGAATTTTTAATCGATGCGTTTTCGTTCTTGCCATTACGATTTTTCTTTCTTTTAACGATTTGAGCTTTGGTTCCTTTATCTAGCTTAACATTAATTCTTTTACTTGAAGGTTTTGGAATCTCTTTTTTCATACATGAACGAAGACTTCCTAGGTTAGACCCAGATTTTGTTGAACGATCTTTGCGAATGTCCAACTCACTGCTAACTGAGGGCTTTTCAGATTCTTTTATCTTCAATGAGTGATTTCTCTTAGACCGTCGTCTTGTACAAACCTCATCAGTTTGTTCAATTCCATTGTTGGGCTCACCGCTGTCAGATGCTTGTGAAACTTTATCATGACAAACTATTTTAGAGTTTCTCTTAGATGTCTCCCTTTTATGTTTATGATCTACACTGGAAACACTTTTCTTTCTTTTGCCACATTTATTCATTAGAGTATCATCAACATCAATAAACACTTCATGATTTGGTTGTAACGGTGGCAACGGTTCCCTTTTTTCCTCAGCCACTACTACATTAGTCTGGTGATTTGCATGCCTTTTATGGAATTTTTTAATTGTCTCTTTTTTGTAAACTTGCAAAAGAACTTGTTCTACTTCACTCACAGCAGGTTGGGAGGTGACATTTGATTTACTTGAATCAGTAATTGTAGGAGCTTGCAGAATCACAAAGGGCTCAGGTGGAGTCTTCCCATGTATGACGTCCTTCCGAGACTGGGGCTGTCCTCGTAGACTTGAATTAAAATACCACTTATCAAGAGGTTTAATATCAGGGTCCTCCCCAGCCTGAATTTCTTTTAAGTCATCCACAGCCAAATCAAATGATTCCTCAACTTCTACAGGCCTGTCACCATTATCAACAAATATTCTTCTGTCTCCATCGCACGTTTTATCATTGACATTGACATCCTCTATTGGCTGACCATAGTCATCTTCACCTTCAACACTACCGACTCCATGAGTAACTTCTTCAAAATGTGTAAAGGCAGCAGAAAAATCTTCCTCACTTGGGACATGGCCATTGGCAATAGCCCTATGAAGAGTAGAAATCAAAGTTTTCAGAAACGAGTCAATCTTCGTAACAGTTGTCCATGTAGCTTTAACTGTCACAGGTTTCTGAAGTGACAAAATTTCAACATCCAGCTGTACAAATAAACGGTGTAAGTAAGTCATCAAACCTTGAGGATGTGGGAATGTGTTGATATAATCATTTGATATTTCAACTGTGGCATGAGAGAACGGGTCTGCAAGATTGATATCCATTTTCTATTATTTAGATTCTATGTGCAATTAATATGGCAAGCTAGCTGGGCCAAATAGAACAGACAGCAGATAGGAAAGTATTGTAGATTTTTGTATAGCTTCACATTTGCTATTTTCCGCTGGAGGCGCTGTGGCACTGCACGAACTGAAGACCCGGAAATACCCCAAAACTCGAAGGTTCATCTCACACGATCAGCGCAAAGAAAACAGAAAACAAACAAACAGAACAGCAGGAGAGCACTCAGGAGTCATGACCTGGGTGTGGCCCGGCCCCCGTAGAGTGTCAGGAAATTAGGGCCGAAACACTTGCTTGCTTGAGACTTGAGGCTGAGGGGGTTCTTCCTCTGAAGATCTCCTGCTGTCAGCTCGCCCCGCGAGTTTTCAGTTTTCTCCCACAAGATTCAAGCCTATTTATTCATTTCGCGGACTAGTAAGCTGAACTGCGTCACTTGTAAGAACACAAGATCTCTAATGCACACTTGCTGACGCTGGAATATTGACTGGAACAATAAAAGTAATGGTAAATAACTAAGAAACGTTCTTCCTGACTTGCACTTGTTGGCCCCAAACAAGAAAAGTTAGGTTGTTCTTGCCAAAGCTTTCCAGTTTCCTTCCATTTGTTTCCGGAAGTAGTACAAAAATGCCTTCATTTACAAGAGAGTGTATTTGTCTTTTTTAGGTAAGAGTAGCCCCGCCTGAAATGACGTCATATCATAATATTTTGCTTGGAGCCTAGGCCTAGGTCAGAGAGCCTTGCTACCTTGCAGCTGAGCTTCAGTTGCTCCACTGTACCCAGGCATACAAGCCACCTCTGCCCTACTCAGTCTGTTCTGGCCGTCCGCCAAGCGAGCTCTAGCGTTTCAGGTAAACAGTAACCCATTTGCGTTTTGTAATAGGCTGTACATAATCTTTTACTATTGAAAGAATTGATATAAAATCTTATTTTACTTGTTTGTGCCCTGCCAGAGTATCTCGCAAAACGACAAGACAATTTTGAAACTGCTGCTGCCTCTGATCAGCTGATCAGAGACTGCGATGTTTTGCGTCTGATGTCCTGTGACAACAGCGAGGTACAAAGTTCATTCATGCACTTGGTTTCTAGGTCAGTGGTAGATCTAGTGACAGCGCTGGCTCTTTGTTTTGGTTTACGGAGCGTTTGGTTTATCAAGTTAGCGCACATCTATCTAGACCCAAGATCTTGTTGGGGCTGCTGGTTTGTTGTTGATGTTTTTTCCTCCTTCTTTCTCTAGCTTCTTGTCTAAATTACCCAAACTAGCTTCTTGTCTAAATTACCCAAACTAGCTTCTTGTCTAAATTACCCAAACTAGCCTTGGTCTAACTTGAAGAGTTGTCATGCATGGATTTTTCTTGGTGTCACTTCTTCAACTTATTGTGATCCTGATCATACTCGTTCAACCTATGGCATGGCGTATATAATCTAGATCTAGATCTAGATAGATCTAGATGGCTCTCATACTATTAATACTTTTTTTCAGTCTCTTGTGTATTTTTCATGCACACACGGCTTCTTCAGTCTCCAGTGACCAACCACTCAATGTTATTATATAAAGTAACTAGAAACATATCTTATAAGATATAGTATTAGTAGTTAAGTA